CTGTCTGTATCGCCCTGCAGGAGGAGGACAGACTCATAGCCCCCTTCTGTCTGTATCGCCCTGCAGGAGGAGGACAGACTCATAGCCCCCTTCTGTCTGTATCGCCCTGCAGGAGGAGGGACAGACTCATAGCCCCCTTCTGTCTGTATCGCCCTGCAGGAGGAGGGACCTCCAGCTCTTTCATGATAACTTTTTTTTATTTTTGATCTACTGAGCTTTGAGCTTCTTTTAGATTATCCTTAACAGTCTAAATTAAAAAAAGTCCTCATAAGCACATGTGCTCTATAAAAAAAAAAAAAAAAAAAAAAAATCACTTTGTTTCAGCCAAAAAATGTGTTTAGTCCTGTTTGTGCCCTCTAAAGGCTTTTTGTGGACATTACAGGTGGCTACAAGAATACATTTTCTCTTAATCTGCCTTTCTCTACCTTTATAACCCCAGAGGACCCCTTAAAATTTTCAGATTTCGGGGAAGCCTCGGTACAACCAAATAACCAAGGAAAAATGGTGATTAAATTGGTGGACAGTAGGCAGAATGTAATCCTTAGTGGTAGCCACCCTTTAAAGACAGCTAAGAAGGTCTTTGGTATCCCGCTGCTGGCTTTTCCAAGTGGTGTTGGTCCCGGAACCATGCATGCGCACATACAGGAGGTCCATCAGCCACACCGCTCCAATACCCTGCAATGCTCTAAACTGGTGTGTTGTATTTCTCATCGCACTCTTTCTTGTGTTTTGCAGACTCGCTCTGTGATTGAGGACATCATGCTTCCCCTCCTGTCTCTGCATCTGTGAGACCTCGTGAATTGAAACGGTACTTCTTTTACATCCAGAGATGGTGTATGCAGTGGAAGTGAAATTTGACTTGCAGCACCCCAAATGTGTCCCTTTAGAGTATTCGCGTCGTATCGCTGACCACAAGCGTGCAACTGAGGCCACAGGAACGTCTGCCATAGGATTCCCCTGGAACTATGCTTCAGAGTTGGCCATCTCAGGAACATCTGACCCCAAGCATGCGTTTGTGTGGTCTATAGGGTCTTGTTCTTTTGTAAACCCCCCCCCCCCCCCTTCCCCCATGGAAAATAATTAGGAAAAGAAAAATTCTCCCCAGCTTCCACTGGCTTCCTGTAGGTGAGGGTGACCTCCTCGCAAAATCCTGGTAAATCTAAGCAGCCCCAACTATAGATCTGGAGTAGATCCTCCAGCTTTGTAGCCTTTGGTGAAATGTTGTCCCCTCACCTTTCCCAGGATCAGGGAAGAAGGCCCAGTGGCATCGCCATCACTTTGATGAGTTCACAAGAAAACGGGATTTCTACTTCTCCTTCTCCTCCTTCTCCTTCTCCTTCTCCTCCTCCTTCTCCTCCTCCTTCTCCTCCTCCTTCTCCTCCTCCTTCTCCTCCTCCTTCTTCTCCTCCTTCTTCTCCTCCTTCTTCTCCTCCTTCTCTCCTTCTCCTTCTTCTTCTCCTTCTTCTCCTTCTTCTCCTTCTTCTCCTTCTTCTCCTTCTTCTCCTTCTTCTCCTTCTTCTCCTTCTTCTCCTTCTTCTCCTTCTCCTCCTTCTTCTCCTTCTCCTCCTTCTTCTCCTTCTCCTTCTCCTCCTTCTCCTTCTCCTCCTTCTCCTTCTTCTCCTCCTTCTCTCTCCTTCTCCTCCTTCTTCTCTTCTTCTTCTTTTTTTTTTTTAAATTTGCTATTGGTGGGGAGGGCTACAAAAAATAGTAGACCCCACACGTACATGAAAGTCTGCCTTAATGTCAGCACAAAGGAAACTTCAAGAAGTGCATTTTGCGCTGCTTCATGCCAAATTTCAGTTCCACTTTTACATGAGCCTGTCCATTGTGGGAATGACATGTGTATATCCTGTTATGTCGGGTACAAGAAGGTACATGTATGTATGTTTGGTGTATGTTAATAGGGCTGATTCATATTCTGAGTGCTGTTGTTTGTATGCAAATACTGACATTTCTCTAGCTGACAGCTCCAGCTTTGCTAGGACTATAGTTTGCTGGCTGAAATGAACCATTTCCTTCACTGAACAATGCAGCCGCTGTGTGCTCTGTAACATGCTGTAGTAGCATTGCCTACATACAGTAAGCGGCGCTGTATTCCAGCCGCATTTTGGCAGCCTGAATGCGTCTCGGCCGTTTGGGGAAACTCCTAATCATTTTTTCAGTGAATAGAAAGCATCCTCTAATTGGCGGAGGTGGATGACGTCACAATTTCCACTTCAGCCAATCAGGAGTCATTGATTTAAAATATAAGGCTTCTTCTGATTGGTGGAGATGCATTCAGGCTGACTCAGTTTAGTTCTAGCTGCAGACCGGAAGTCACCTGTACTGCTGCTAGAACCCAGACGGTACTTACAGTATGTAACTAATTCTAATAGTTACATGTCTCTGCGCCCGCTGTGTGCGCCCCAAAGGAAATAGGTTGTTGGGTCTGGCTTGGCCTAAATGAGCCATGTATAGTCATAGTAAAGCTGGAATTCTGCTGTAAGGCTCCATTCACACTTTTGCGACTGGTTATGCGATAAGTCACCCCCCCCCAATGTTTCCCAATGGGTACCATTCATATCTGTGCAACTTCAAAAGTAGTTCTTGCACTACTTTGGTTTGACTTTCATGCGAGGGACATAGCTGTGACTTTCGAGGGTTTACATTGAACTCTGTCCCTTGCATGAAAGTCTAACTAAAGTCGTACAGGAACAACATTCAGCTGCGACTTTCGAGGGTTTACATTGAAGTCTGTCCCTCGCATGAAAGTTGGCCCAAAGTAGTGCAGGAACTACTTTGAAGTCGCACAGATATGAATGGCACCCATTGGGAAACCTAGAGGGTGACTTGCCATGCAAATTGATTCGACTTTGGCTTTGACCAAGGATAATGGCAACTTCATTGCGACTTGGCAGTGCGACTTGATTTCGACTTTGACCAAGGATAATTGTTTCTGCTGTACAAAGTCGAATGATTATTATTATTATACAGTATTTATAAAGCTCCAATAGTTCACTCAGCGCTGTACATTACAAAATTTTTAAGTCCCATTATCCTTGGTCAAAGCCAAAGTCGAATCAAGTCGCCCCCTATGTTTTCCAATGGGTACCATTCATATCTGTGCGACTTCAAAGACGTTCCTGCACTACTTTGGGCCAACTTTCATGCGAGGGACATAGACTTCAATGTAAACCCTCGAAAGTGCGACTTTGGCTTTGACCAAGGAGAATGGTTTCTGCTGTACAAAGACGCAGCAAAGTCAAATCAAGTCGCAATGAAAACCATATGATTTGAAGTCGTACAAGTATGAATAGAGCCTTATAGGTCTCTGTCAGGTGTTTCAATATATTAAGCCAGTTGGTTCCTGCAAAGGGTAACAATCTCCGGCGGCCTGGTTTTTTTTTTTTTTTTTTTTTTTTTTTCTCCCCCCCCACCTATCCTTCATACCAGCATTACAGCGTTGGAGAGTTTCTTCATCTTCACTGCTTCTAGAAGGGTCAGATGCCTGTTTCGAATGTGTCTAGTACTTTTCCTCTGACTCCTATGTCATTGCTCCTGCAGTGTCTTGAAGGGTCACTGGGACAGTAAGTGAGGGGTAGCAGTAAAAAGGAGACAGAAGTTCTGTATTGAAAAAAAAAATTAAGTTTTCAATGGACATACACTTTTTAGGACATGTTCACACCAACCTTTGTTGAGCTGTATTGGGTATTGTTGCTCAATGCACTTCCAAAGCAAAGGCCAGGCAAAAAGGCTTGCTTTGTATAGGGCCTGTTCATACCTATACACTGAGGAGTAAAAAAAAAAAAAAAAAAAAAAAAACGCTGCAGTGTGTAATAACACAACACAGTGCACATGCAGAGCACGGCTGCCAGACTCATTCACCTTTCCAACCGCTCCATCTCTCTGCCACCCCCCCTCTGCCAATCCCTCCACTGGCTTCCGATTGCGCAACGGATCAAATTCAAAATCCTAACACTGACGTACAAAGCTGTCCACCATACTGCCCCGAACTACATCACTGACCTAATATCCAAGTATCACCCAACACGCACACTCCGCTCCTCACAATGACCTCCTTCTCTCTAGTTCCCTGGTCTCCTCCTCCCATGCCCGCCTCCAGGACTTCTCCAGGTGTCACCCATCCTCTGGAACTCCCTGCCCCAACCCATCAGATTATCACCTACTCTCCCCTCCTTTAGGCGCACCCTGAAAACCCACCTCTTCAAGGAAGCCTACCCCACCCCCTGCTAACCTGCCGACCTCCTCCACTCTTCCTACCACCCCATCCCCCACAGCTATCTCCTCCTGTACCACCATCCCCTCCAATCTGCTTCTAACTTCAGCTTGTTCAGTAAGGCTGGCCATACATTATACAATTTTCTTGAGATTTTTGGTTTAGATTTACCAAAAACCATATGAGGTCAAACCTAACAACACTTTCAATTGTATCCAATTAGGCCGGCTCTTGCACTACACAGCTGAAGGTAAGCCTAAAGGAAATTGGACAGAAAATTGTATAGCGTGTGGCCAGCCTTAAGCTTTGGCAATAAAACCTTGAAGCCGATCGGTTTCTATGCAGAGCTGCACCAGATTTTGCATGCTCCAGATTTGGTAAATCTCCCCCATTATGTGGTGTGAATGAGCGGCAAAACTACAAGTCCCATCATGCCTCTGCCTGTGGGAGTCGTGCTTGTAACTGTCAGCCTTGCAGTGCCTCATGGGACTTGTAGTTCCGCAAGAGCTGAAGGGCCACCAGTTTGACACCATTCTTTTGTAGCTCTATATTCCTTGAAGCCATGAACCCATTTTTCTGAATCCTACTGAAAAAATTGCATTGTTTGTTTTAAATTATGTATTTGGGTGAAAAGGTGTAGCAGAATCCCCAGTTATAATAGGAAGGGTTGAATAAAAACAAATTTAAAAAGCGAGACTCCAGTTTGTTGTTCACCAAGCGTTGGCTTTATGGCTTTTCCTCTTTTTGTATTAATAATTTTTTTTTTTTTTTTGTTGCAGTCTGGATGTATCGCCCACAGGATCAGTTTGGATCCCGCTTTCCCCGCGACCCCTTCATCGGTGGAATCAACACAGCCTGGAACCCTCCACCGCATCCCCGAGCATGGGCACCTTCTGGCAGGTGAGACCTCGCAGCCCCGGAGCGGTCATCTTTACTTAGACCGCAGCATTTCCCTTCATATAAGGAGTATAGATACGGTTTGTGTACGTGGGCATAGTGGATGTGAACAAGGGCACCCTTCACATTTTTGTTTTTGATCTGTTCAGCTTCCCGTATGCCTCTGATGGGGTGCGATGAAGCTTTTGTGTTGTACCTGTACCGCTGTGCCAACGCCTCCCCCTGCTTTTTCCTCTTTCTCTCAGATGCTCTTCAAACCCTAACCAACCTCAGCTGCCCCCTCACTTACCGTCTAGTCATGTGACAAACATTGGTCACCCAAGCAAACCTTATTACCCTATCGGGTAAGTGTCTGTGTGAGGGCTCCGCATGGGGGTTACGCGATCAATACACTAAGGGGCCACTTATTGGGACTTTAAGGGAAACTCGTTATTACTGTAGAAGTTGGCTTGTTGGGCGGACAGTCCCATTGACTGGATACTAACTCTTGTTGTCTGTCTTGGCACCATTTGTAGCTCTCCACCTGGGCATCGCTATGGAAAGCTGGAGAGGGTCCATTCGTGCGTGCAAAGCCTCCTGCGTGACGAGCAGCAGCCGCAAATATGGGAGCAGCTGGGTCAGATCTATGAGTCGGAGCAAGAATGGGAGGATGCTGTGCGCTGCTACCAGGCCTCCGCACGCTACCATGGCGGTTATGAGCTCACTACACACATCACCCGACTCCAGCAGGTGAGCAGAACTGTGGACCGGCATTGGAGGCAGATCCTTGCTTTATCACTGTGTGTCACTTATGGCCGACAACGTTCTCATAAACCCAGTGTTAAAGTGGACCTCTCAGTAATTTCACAATTCTGCATGAACAAATTCCTGGAACGTTGCAATATTAATCGTACCATTCAGAAAAGCTTCACATTTTATTTGAAATTCAACTTTTTCACCAGATTTTGCCTAGGGTGGGGTGATGTCATCAGTCTATAGGCAGGAGGAAGCTTTTCCTCCAGTCTCCTCTCCCCCAGATATCAGATTCCAGTATTTTTCAGAATCTCATAAATCTCCCAGCTTGGCCATGTTTGTTCAAACTGTGTAATAGCGTCAGGGAAATGTGGAAGAGTGTCATTGTCATTAGCAACAGGATTAGGCTGCCCGCAAAGGGCCCAGCTTGTGGCATCTTGCCTCCATGTAGCCTATGCTCAGCCTGCTTTGAGGTCTCTTTATTTCTTGGGCATGGCAACAATAGCCCCATAAAGATTCAGGGGGACAGTGTAAAGTGTCGGAGTCCTGCTCAAAGACTGGTGTGCAGGATTAGTGGCAGTAGCTTGCATGGGCTGCAATAGGAGCCAGTCAGGCTCTGCCGTGGTGCACATGTGCTGGCTCTGATTGTGCTGATGGGAGATGAGCACTCTCTCTATGCTGCTGCTACATTTGTCCAATCAGGAGTCGGCATGTAAGCGTACTAAAGCCCCAGGACCTAGGTACACCAGTCTTCTCAACCTTTTCAACACAGAGGAACCCTTGAAATCTCTCAAGGAACCCCTGCTAAAAATGACTGCATTTACAACTCATGAGTGTGGTGGTCAGTGGGAAGAACACTCCTTACATCTGTGGTCATTGGGAAGCATTTTCCCCTTTACAGATGCTAAAAACATCAGTGGTGTCAATGAGAACTTATCCAAGAGGCAAAAGTTGCTCATTGCTCAAGGAACCCTAGCAACCTCCTAGAGGAACCCTAGGATTCCATGGAACCGTGGGTGAGAAACCCTGCTATACAGTGCGTATATCAGCTGTGTATGTGGCTGTATCACTAGAGCAGTGGTCTCCAAAATGAAGCCCAGGGCCCTTGGCTTGCCTTTATCTGGCTCTTGGGGCACGATTCCTCCCACTGATATAAGACACTATTCTTCCAACTGACATAAACAGTGGAGCACCATTTCTCCCACTGACACCAACAATGGGGCACTGTTCCTAACAATGATACCAACAATGGGGACTATTCCTCCCCAAAATGTGATGTTTACTCCCACTGATGCCAGGAAAATTTCCACTCCTATTGGCCCCAGTCCAGCCCCCCTAAAGTCTGAAGGACAATAAATTGGCCCTTTGTTTATAAAGTTTGGAGACCCCTGCTCTAGAGTGTAGCTTTGATTAAAAATCTTTTGTCTTCAGGTACCATGTGTTTGGTTGGTTGGTTTTTTTTTTTGTTTGTTTTTCGCCATTAATTTTCTGAGTTGCATTCCCCATTTTTTTTTTTTTTTCATAAACTATTTTATTATTTTCATAGACGCACTTGTGGAATGTCCACGCAGCGCCCCCCACACCACCGACCCAAAACCCTGCCGCGCTTACAGCAAGTGTGGGACCTGATGCAGCACGAGGTGAGTCAACTCTCTGGGAATAGTGTGGTGGTGGTGTTGTGTGTACTTTTTTTTTTGAGACCCCTTATTTTTTTTTATTTCCAGCAAAAGAGGCATTTTGGAGGCAAGCGTGGACTCCCACAACTAAAGAGGCCTCCTCCCCTCCTCTGATTCACTCCAGTCACCCCCCCATAATCCGCACGGAGGAGATGAGCAGCCAATGAAACGAAGGAGGAGTGGAAGTCCTGAACAGGTAGACGCACAATTTTCCCTACAATATGTGCATTCTGCTAGAACACTTTTTTTTTTTTTTTTTCTCCTGTTTGACATGACAAGAGTACAATTGAAATTTTGTATTGATTTTAAGTTACATGTGTCCTCTTCAGAGGATTGCTGGTTTCTAGGATGTGTGGGCACATCAGGCTGGGACAGATGGGTTCCCTCAAATTTAGGTGAGGGGATGGTGACACCTTTTTTTTATTTGGCTCTTCATTAAAGTTTGTCTGGAGGGTGGTATAGGTTAACAAGGTATCAACCATAAACCAAGCAACTGGGCATAGAATAGTTAAATAGTCATGGGTCAGCCAGCAAAAAAAATACCTTGGCAAATAGTGTAGGTGTTGGAAAACAGGATAATGACGTTACACTTTCTTTTGCCTTTTAGCAAAGAAGGGGTAACCCTGGCATGCATTCACCTTCGGCTCCAGTGGGTTCTGGGAATCCATACCATCAGCCACCCACAAAACCCAATGTCTGGAACCCAATAAACCATGAGCCCTGGGGGGAGCGTAGGGAAAGGCAGGTAAGACAAAATGGATGAAGAGGTTCCAAGTGAACTATACTTTTATCAAGTAGTCCAGGTCTCTTTAAATTATCACTTTTTTTATCTCTCCATAGGATCCCCGACTTCCACCCCATGTTCCCTCTTACTCCTCATACTGCCCCCCACGTCCACCACCACCACTACACCAGCAGCCCCGTCCTCCAAGTGACCTTAGTGAGGCTCGGTGTCAGAGGTCACCTGCGGAGGTCATTCCAGCACCACCTCCTCTCCACGTGCCTTACGACCAGAGAAGACCCCGCATCCCACCACATAAGACCTCTAGGACTGATATATCCCCTGTAAGTAGTTTTTTTTTTTTTTTTTTTTTTTTTTTTTTAGTTGACTTCCTACTCTTCCTCTAATGTACAGTCCTGGCTGTCACTGTGATCAGTTGACACCCTTCTGCAGGTTTAAATTTTAAGTTTTTCTTTCCATTTTTTTTTTCCAGCCCTCTGATCGCTTTCCTAGTCCTGTGGACAACACAGCCAGAGTTTGTCCTCCTGCAGAAGAGCCGGAACCTCCAAAACCAATTTGCCCACCACCCCTCCAAGCTCAACCCTCTTCAGCCTCTTCGCTCCAGCAGAGCTGGCTGCCAGCTACAGTCAAAGAAGAAGTGAAGAGTGGAGATGATTTAGAGGACATTCTGTATGGGGAAGGCCATGGGACTGGCAAACAGGAGACATACTATCCAACCTGCGATAACCCAGTGGGAAGCGGTGTCTTCAACCACCGAACTCAGGGCGTCACCACCAGCAATGTCAGGCCAAGGTCTGAGGCCTACCAGGATCCAAACTTGGATCATGTTCTCAAGAGCCTGCAAAAAAATGGATGAGTCCGGGTTGTTTGCCCCAAAGAAAGAGGATGTGGGACAAAAAATCAGCAAAAGCCCTCAGACCCCAGAGATGGACATAGAAGGCAAGCATTTAAGCCATGGACTCTCTAAGTCCGAGGGCAGCTATTCAGGTGGAAAGAGGTCACCAGCTAAAGAGGACAATGCCTCATTCAGTTCCTCTTCAACCACCTACCACAAAGATACCTCAGGAAACCTTCAGGTGCTAGGATTTGCTGCTTCACCAACAGCGCCCGCTTCAAACCCAACTCCGGAGTCTTTGAGCCCAATTCCAACTTTGTCGGAGAGGAAAGGTCGTGAGGACGAGAAGGATCAGCCTGCTGGGTGCAGTCAGCTCTTTGACTTTCCTACCGGACAGTTAGCAGAGCCGTTTGAGGAAGCCACTGAATTTGCAAAGATTTTGCCTGATGGGTTGGATGACATCATGAAAATGTTAGACGAGTCCATTGAAAAGGAGGAAGGGAGCAGCAGATCGAGAAGAGAGGGCTTCATCCCTGCGGCGTCCACCCACCCACCAGCAGAGGCCAGAGCAACAACCCAGCCTAAAACTGCACCTCAGTCAAACATTTTGACCAATTCTGCTTCTGGTGGAAAAACATCAGAAGGAAGGTCTGGCTATTATGGCCCTAAAAAAGCAATACTGGGTCAAGAAGCTGCCAACGAGTCCAAGCCAGCTCAACACGGGGCCAGCAGTGTGCTAAAATCGCTGGCTAGTGTTTTGGAGGGACAGAAGTATTCCTACCGCGGTGGGCACAGCCTCAAGACTGGAGGAGGCTCAGGCTATTTCCATGGTGCTACTATGGCGGGCAAGCGTAATGTTGACCCATACACTGCGCAATCTACCTCACATCGGGCCTGGGAATCTAAGACTAGAGCAGCCCCTACCTCAGACACGTTGGGACAAGGGCTGGCAGCAGCAAGACCTGGAGTCCGCACAGAAACAGACATTTTGGAGGACATAGCACGAGCTTGTGAGACATTGGTGGAAGGCACAAAAGGGTCCATTTGTAGCCAGCCGGAGAAGGAGGAGAGAGTGGCCCAAAGACCCAACGTCATTGTTGAGAAGAAACTTGAGAAACCTTGGGTTACAGATAAACAGGACACTGATTCTAAGGCTAAACCTGAAAATATTTGGGGTGCTGATAAGCTAGAGGCCAGTAGCGGGAAAAAAACAGAAACCTCCTGGGTAGAGGTTGAACCAGAAAAGAAAGTAGAAAAGAATCCTGAGCCACACTGGGCAGTGGCAAAAAAAGAGGCAAGGGATGAGACAAAACAGCAGACCCCAAGGGGTGCTGATAGGACTGACCGAGCAGCAAGCCACAAAGAGACAGTTGAGGGGATGCTGAAAAAGTCTGTCAAAGTATTTGATAAAAAGAGTACTGCCGATAAAACCGAAACCGTTCCAACTGCATCAGTTGGAGCTGACGGTGCTACAATCTCAGAGGGGGTGCCTACAGGGGTGATAGCCAAGACTGAAACGGCTGTTGATCGATCTGTCCTGAGTGCAGAGCAAAAGTCACCGGAGAAACCACCTGAACTGCAAAAGCTGCAGGTTCAGGAGAGCAGTTCTGCTAAAACTCCCAGCTCACCAGTGGAGAGCGAAGGCTTCCAGTCCCCAGAAGAGTTGCCCATGGATGCAGCAGAGGCAGAAGAGGAGGGCGCAAAGGCAGCTGAGGTGGAGAGGCCACCAGAAAGACTAACACTGTCCCTTGTTGCACCGACCCGGAGCAAAGATGAGGGTAGGAGAAGAGATAGGAGGCATCGCAAGACTAAGAGGGACAGAAGTAGACGGGCTAAAGACAGTAGGTCTCGTAAGGACAAGGATCGGCAGGTCTTGGGTAACTTGGATCTCCAGAGTCAGTGCAGGGACACCCCTAAATCTTCAAAACAAGGGTCAGGCGGAGACAGGAGGAAATCTGAGGGTGGGAGACGGGGAGTAGAAGACCATCACCAGACTTCCTCACCTGCAGCGCCAGCATCTGCACCAACCTCTGCTTCGCACGGTACAGCATCCTCTGACTTGTTGAAGATGAGACCGTTCATGGAGGGCCCACCCAAGGAGCTGAAGATTCGGCTGATCAAAGTTGAAAGTGGAGACCGGGAGACCTTTATTGCCTCAGAGGTGGAAGAGAAAAGGCTACAGGCCAGCGATCTGACCATCAACCATACGGCTGCAGAGATTATCAAAGCTACTAAGTAAGTGCTTAGTCTGTTATTGAAACTAACTGACCTGATAGCAGTGCACTAACTGGCTGTTCACAGAAACACACTGCTGCACTGTTTAATGGAAGCCTGTCACTTTTCAGTTTAAAGCATATTCAAAATGAAAACCATGTTGGTGAAAGTAGGGAAGTGTTAGAACATCTCAGGTTTTTTACCATCTCTGTCATGATTTCCTTCATTGCCTGTTCTGTAGACACAACAGGAAGCAAGTGGAAACCTCTTTAGGGTGAATCTCCACAGTAATGATGAGCCGAGCATGTTCTGACTAGGACCCGAGCCCACGTGTGCGAGCCCGCCAGGAAGCAGTCACCACCTTGTATATGTGCGGTGAATTCCCTGGCCACAGTTGATTGGCCCATACAGGCAACATCCTCCTGGCGGGCTTACACATTTGGGTTCAGATCCTAGTCCAAGCTTGTCACTACTACCCAGCACGGAAACAGATGGGGATTCTAACCCTTTACTACTCCATCCAAAAGAATAAAAAAAAAAAAGTTTTGACTTTAGGTATACTTTGGTTATACGAATGTCTGTGGGGGGGGGGAAGGAAAGTATATTATCTTCTTCTTTCAATCCTCCTCTCCTCTCCTTCTCTTTCTTCCTCCTTCTCCTTTCAATCCTCTCCTCTCATCCTCTCCTTCTTCTTCTTCTCTCCTTCTCTCTCTCTCCTCCTTCCTTTCATCCTCCTCCTCCTCTCCTTCTTCTCCTTCTCCTTCTCCTTTCTCCTCCATCCTCTCCTCCTCCTTTCCTCCTCTCCTCCTCTCCTCCTCCTCCTCCTTCTCCTTCCTCCTCCTCCTCTCCTTCTCCTTCTCCTTCTTCTTCTTCTCCTTCTCCTCCTTCTCCTTCTCCTCCTCTCTCTTCTCCTTCTTCTTCCTCCTCTTCTCCTCCTCTCCTTCTTCTTCTTTCTTCTCCTCTCCTCCTCCTCCTCCTCCTCCTCCTCCTCCTCCTCCTCCTCCTCTTTTTTTTGTATCTTCAATCCTCCGCCATGAAGAGGGAGCACTGTTTTAATCCTCCTCCTCCTCCTCCTCCTCCTCCTCCTTTCAATCCTCCTCCTCCTCCTTGGTTTTCATAAAACATGAAAAGGTGAACTAACTTGCAACACCCTCGCCATACCCCCCATTGCTAGTTGATTTAGCAGTCTGGGCATTTAAAATGTGCTTTTCTGCACCCTTCTTTCGGGCTGCATGCCATCCTGGAACAATGAAGGCTCAGATTCTCACTGGTCAGTGCAGTCATGCCCGCTCCCCATTGGGGAGCATTATGATGCTACACAGCCTCCAGGCTCCAGTTTGGAGGCTGTGTACTGTAGTTTTCGAATGGCCAGGCTGCTACACTGGCTGGCTTGGGCGGCAGAAGATAATTATTGAAGGACATGAGTGCAGCGTGGACTGGGCGTGTGCGGTGGGTGTAGGGAGTTGGCTCACCTATTCATTTTTTTTGTGTAAAGGTAAAATATCCCTGTAATCCCTTATTCACACTCTAGGGGGTTATGTACTAAAACTGCAGAGTGCAAAATCTGACACAGCTCTGCATTGAAACCAATCAGCTTCCAGGTTTTATTGCGAAGACTAATGCAGGCCATAGATGGGGGAGAAAACCGGCCAATTATTCTTCAAAAAAAAAAAAAAAAAATCGGTCATTCTATCGGCCGACGTTACCAGGTACGGTTAAAAAAATCGGCCGATTTTTCATCCCATCTACAGCCGGCAAAAAGTCTCTGCAGAGAGCTCTGCTATTTCTTTGACAGTTCTTTGACATTTATAGCACCTGCAACATTGTATCTATTTGTATCCATTTCGGATACAGATGTTGTTCTTCCTTCTCCTCCGGAAAATCGGCCGATTTTCGATCCATCTATGGCCTGCATAAGGCTGGCCATACACTATACAATCTTCTTGAGATGTTTGCTTTAGATTTACCAAAACCCATATGAGGTCAAACCTAAACACTTTCAATTGTATCCAGTTAGGCCGGCCCTTGCACTACGCAGTTGAAGGTAAATCTAAAAGAAAATGGGCAGAAATTGAACAGAAAATTGTATAATGTATGGCCAGCCTTACTCTAACTGAACAAGCTGAAGTTAGAAGCTGATTGGCTACCATGCAGAGCTGCCCCACAGCTTCTGAGTGCTCCAGTCTTGGTAAATCCCCCCCTATGTGTTTAATGTGGTAATAAACAAACATAAAATCAAACATTTATTATATTGCAGCTTACACAATCCTCAAATGTGATGGCTGCATTCGCCTTTTTTAGCCTTTTCTTTCCTTTTTACCCGATGATTCAGCCAGTAAGTCTGTGGTTTCGTTGTTTTTTTTTTTTTTTTTTTTTTTTTTTTTTTTTTAACAAAACAAGCTGTCCTGCAGAGTTTTGAGACAAACCATTTACCACTGGGAGGGCTGCTTACAATGATCAGCTTATATTTAAGAAAAACCTTAATCCCAAAAGGAAAGACTGAAGCCATACGCCAGCTCACACTGCAGTTATAGCAATTCGTTAGTGTATTTAAATCTGCTAGTACATCTGCTAAATCTGCTAGTACATCTAACACCCCCCCCCCCCCCTGACTGACCATGCTACTGCCCAAAGGGGTCTCATCCAGAGTAGTGTCTCTCTAATACAGGAATTATGTTACTGGCCAGATATCACCAGGTGAAAAAAAAAACTAATGCAGCCACCACATCTGATTGGCATGCTGCAATATTACATTTTTGGGTTTAAAGGATAAATTTGGGGTGTAACATGTTACAATTGTACCGGCCCCTGCACCCCTGATATGCTGATGTGACAGCTAGCGGAGAATCTTCTTCCTCCGCTAGCTGTCACAATTTTTCTTTCTAAAACGTGGCCGTACAGGGATGGTGGGAACCTCAAAACATTGGGCACAGCGTGTGTACAGACCTGGGAATTCAATACAGGGATGTTGAGAACCCCTCATAATGGGCACAGAAGATGTAAAGACCAGGGAATTCAATACAGGGATGGTGGGAACATCTCAAAATGTGCACATCTGGTGTACAGGGATGGTGGGAACATCTCAAAATGGGCACAGCAGGTGTACACCTGGGACTCAATACTGGGATACCTCAATAATGGGCAGGGAATTCAATACAGGGTGGTGGGAACATCTCAAAATGGGCACAGCGTGTGTACAGACCTGGGAACTCAATACAGGGATGGTGGGAACACCTCCAAAATGGGCACAGTGGGTGTACAGACCTGGGAACACAATACAGGGATGGTGGGAACCACTCACCATGAGCTCAGCAGATGTGCATAGCCAGGACCTCTGGGTAGAGATCTCACTAATAAAGTCCCGGAAAGATTGAAAGGACAGTCAGGGGAGTTGAATGCTCCAACATCTACCATACACTGAGAATATTGGCTTTGACTAGCCCTTTAACTTGCATTATGTGTACCATTTTATATGAGGTGGCATAAAAAAGTTTTGAGTCTAGTTGTGTAACACGCCAACAGATGGACGCACAGTCACAGGAAGCACCAACTTTCATAGGTCAGTGTGCCCAGACCTTGTCCTGTGTACATCGGGAGCTGTACAACTGGTTCTATTCTGACCACAGCTGCCATTTGATCATGGACAGCAAGTCAGAACAAAGGGCAAACCGGAAATTCTGTATGAAACCCAAACACCCAAGTTTCATCACTGGTAATGATCCTCGACATGGACGGGTCATCCACGGCACGCTGACGGAGTTCTTGGCAGACTTGGACGTGGTGTTCCTTCTGCTCCGGGTCTGGGGACAAACTTGGCAGAAACGCAGCACATGTTTAAATCACACGTGAGGATTGCCTGGACTGTTCCGTATGACACCCCGACAATGGCAGCCATGTTGTGGATTGTTCTCCGACAACCATCATGCAAAAGTTGCCGATTGGTTTCGATATTTTCGGGGGTTGAGTTCGTTGAAGGTCTTCTAGATTTCTCGCCGTCTTCCAGTGATGTTCTTCTGTTCCACTCAGAACACCTCGAATGACATCGCTGTAAACTTGCCGAATCATGTCAAACGTCTGTGGCAGATTTTCCCGGTTTCATGCAGAATTTTACATTTGCTCTTCGTTCTAACTCGCTGTCCATGATGAAGTAGCAGGTGTGGGCAGCACAGTGGCCAAATGGTTAGCACTTCCACCTGGCAGTACTAGGGTTGTTGGTGCGAATCCCAACCACACCACCACCTACCTGGAGTTTGCATGTTCTGCCTGTCTGGGTTTCCTGCAGGTACTCCAGTTTCCTCCCACACTCCAAAGACATGCTGGTAGGTGAATTGGCTCCTGTCCAAATTGGCCCTAGCATGTGTATGTATGAATGTAAGTTAGGGACCTTTTAGATTAGACTGTGAATGTACAATATATATGTAAAGCGCTGCGTAAATTGATGGCGCTATATAAGTACCTAAATAATAAACAAATGTGGTAATGCATGTAGTCAAAATAGCACCAGTTGCACAGCTCCCGATGTACACAGGACAACGTCTTTTGGCACACTGACTTATGAAGGTCTGTGATCCCTGTGACTGTGCGTCCAGCCTTGTGCTGCCATCTGTTGGCCTGTTACAAAACTAGTTTTGAAACCTTTTGGATACCACAACGTATTGTGTCCTTTTTAAAGCTGAACTCTAAGTGATATAGGAGACACAAATAATGCAGTTCTGTACTATATAATTAAATGTATTTTTTAAATGCAAAACTGTGTAAGTACATGAATGTGACCAAGTATCGGCCTTGTACCATCCCTGTACAGCAGAGCTTAGTCTGGGGAAGGAGGAAGCGGCACAAGGAGCCAATCGGTGAGATCACCGTGCTGCTTATCCTTTCGCCGCCCAGTCACAGGCTGGAACGGGTCCTGGATGACCTGGGCTCAGAGGAAGTCCGTTTTTTTTTTTTTTTTTTGTTTTTTTTTTTAATGAGACTGGCTATCAGAAAAAGGGCATCTAGGGGTAAGAAGAGACCTTGTCTGGATTCTGCTCTAAGAGAAAAAAAGTAGAGCCTGTGTATGTTGTAAGCAAACGTGTAGGTTTCTTGTACAGAGATGGTCACAATCCATTCGAGGGAACGAGGTGTAATGCAAACTGATACGAATATTTATATCGCACTTTATTTGTATTGATTTCCTTTTGATAAATGAAACCTTCCCTGGAGTGATAGTGAGCCACATGTATGCTGTGGGAAGGGACAGCCACGCTGCTTGCCTGTAATTGTGGGATCAGGAGACGCAGCTATACTTTTTGTCGTTGCCTGCTGCTCATTTCTGTCTCTTCTAATTCCTTAGGAATATGGTGCTGAAAGGAAAATACAAAGAGTCCTATGTCCTTCCTTCCATGTCTGTGAAAACCGCCAGTGGGAACCGAGCGCAACCTCCCCCGGGAAAAACTCAACCCACCTACACCCAGTATCTATGTACGTATATTACCGATTGTATACTGATGTGCCTATGTTCCTAGTCCACGCCTTGCAGGGTGATACAGACAGAAGGGGGCTATGAGTCTGTCCTCCTCCTTCCTGCAGGGTGATACAGGCAGAAGGGGGCTATCCCCCTGTCCTCCTCCTGCAGGGTGATACAGACAGAAGGGGCTATGAGTCTGTCCTCCTCCTGCAGGGTGATACAGACAGAAGGGGGCTATGAGTCTGTCCTCCTCCTGCGGGGTGATACAGACCGAAGGGGGCTATGAGTCTTCCTCCTCCTGCAGGGTGATACAGGCAGAAGGGGGCTATGAGTCTGTCCTCCTCCTGCAGGGTGATACAGACAGAAGGGGGCTATGGGTCTGTCCTCCTCCTGCAGGGTGATACAGACAGAAGGGGGGCTATGAGTCTGTCCTCCTCCTGCAGGGTGATACAGACAGAAGGGGCTATGAGTCTGTCCTCCTCCTGCAGGGTGATACAGACAGAAGGGGGGCTATGAGTCTGTCCTCCTCCTGCAGGGTGATACAGACAGAAGGGGGGCTATGAGTCTGTCCTCCTCCTGCAGGGTGATACAGACAGAAGGGAGCTATGAGTCTGTCCTCCTCCTGCAGGGTGATACAGACAGAAGGGGGCTATGAGTCTGTCCTCCTCCTGCAGGGTGATTACAGACAGACAGGTCTCCTTGTTGATTGGTAATATTTGTTTTCTTCTAGTTGGAGAGTAAGAGAGATGCATTTTCTCCTGTGTTGCTTCAATTCTGCACTGACCCCAAGAACCCCATCACCGTGATTCGAGGTCTAGCTGGATCCCTGCGACTAAGTAAGTTGTCTCGATTGTTAAAAGTTTCACAGCTGCCAAGTGAATGCTTTTTGTATCCTGTTTAGACCAACTTGGTGGTTCTAAAGCCTTATACTTCTTTCTTCTTCTTCCTTTTTTTTAACTTTAAAAAAAAAAAAAAAAAAGGTTTAGGTAACAGTATCACCCCCTCATTCCCGTTATATTTACCCAAGTTCTCACTCGATCCAGCGCTGTACCTGTCTGTATTGGCTCTCCCCACTCACAGGCTTTGCTGAGGCAGTGGGAGTCATTGGCTCCCGGTACTGTCAGTCAAATCCTATGACCAGGAGCCAGGGGGAGGGCTGAGCTATGCTGTCTGTGTCTGTGGATGCAGGCAGTGCAGCTCGCAGGTGGTACCCCATGGAAAGCGGCACCTTATGGGGTATTGTACCACTGAGAAGAGGAGCTTAGTGCTGGCAGCGGACCTGAGAAGAGGTTTGGGTCCTCTTTGTGCAAAACAGAGTGGACCTGAACCGCCTCTTTACATTTATTTATTTCAGGTACTTATATAGCACCGTCAATTTACGCAGCACTTTACATATATATTGTACATTCACATCAGTCCCTAATCCTCAAGGGGTGTACATTCACATCAGTCCCTAACCCTTCAAGGGGTGTACATTCACATCAGTCCCTAACCCTCAAGGGGTGTACATTCACATCAGTCCCCTAACCCTCAAGGGGCGTACAATCTAAGGTCCCTAACCCTCAAGGGGCGTACAATCTAAGGTCCCTAACCCTCAAGGGGCGTACAATCTAAGGTCCCTAACTTTCATTCATACATACAATAGGGCCAATTTTAGACAGGAGCCAGTTAACCTACCAGCATGTCTTTGGATTTTGGGAGGAAACCGGAGTGCCTGGAGGAAAGCCATGCAGGCACAGGCAGAACATACAAACTCCAGGCAGGTTGTGCCATGGTTGGGAATCGATCCAGCGACCCTAGTACTGCCAGGCGAAAGTGCTAACCCTTTAGCCACTGTGCTGCCTATGTTTTGTTTGTAAAGTCAAACATTTTTTTTTTTAATCACATTGACCGCTAAGGCAGATCTGTATATAAAATGAAGTACTGTTTTTTAAAAGCTGAAATGTACCCTTCCTGCACCTGGTCATGTGACGAATTCCGAGGCATTGCATCATCTTGAGTTTCACTCTCATCTCTGACAGATCTGGGCCTCTTCTCCACCAAGACTCTGGTAGACGCTAATGGAGAACACACTGTAGAGGTCCGTACTCAGGTGCAGCAGCCGTCTGATGAAAACTGGGACCCCTCCGGGACCCGCCAAGTCTGGCACTGCGAGAGCAGTCGCTCCCATACCACCATCGCCAAGTATGCTCAGTATCAGGCTTCATCCTTCCAGGAATCCTTACAGGTAGGTGCCCATTTGTTTGCGTCTTTCAGCTTTCATTTAATGGCTCTTTAGAGGGGTTGTCCACTTTCACAGATGTTTCCCTCTGATTTTCCCTCTCAGCCAAAGAGTTAAGTTACAAATAGAATGGTCCCTTCTCTCCATTGTTCACTGCTAGCTATGGGTTTGGCATGGTCACCCCTGATTACAGGGTGTAGCTCATACTGTGTGTGTTTTGGAATTCCTATTGCTGTGGTTTTCATGTATGTGCTGTTACTTTGTGTTTTGGTTGCTGTCTTTACTTTTCTGACCCTTCTATCAGACATCAACAGAAACCTGATGGTAGGGATTCTAACCTTTCCGTACGGTGTGCCAAAAAAAGTCTAGAAACAAATGCCTTGAGCCTTGGAGGTCTACAAGTGGAATGTTCTATTGAATCCAACCTATAACACAAACTCACCTTCACACCAAAAAAAAGCACATTTTTTGCAGCCCCCTCTCTCCCACAGTTGTAGTATTCTTTTCCTGTGATTTAAACTTTTTTTTTTTTTTTTGCTGCAGATCAGCACTTCCTCATTTCTCCCCAGGATAGAATGATGTGCTCTCAATTCCACACATGTATTAAAAAAAAAAAAAAAAAAAAATCGGTATTTTGGCGCTGGAGGGGTATAGCCAGAGTAACTTAAAAGTCCAATAAAAATCCAATGAAAAGTCCAATAGCAAGTTCATAAATAAAGTCCAATTTATAGCCAGGGAAGATTAAGGGGAGAGGGATTGTTGGACAGGCTGTGGTTGTTCACGGGGGCAGTAGGCAATGAATGGTAGCATCAGCGGCAGCACCCTTAGAGTAAAGCTGGACTCTGTAAGCAGGGAAAGAGAAAATAGGGGCGCCAAACTAAGTGCAGCATTATTAGTAATTTTATTGCAAGGTTAAAATTATTAGCAACTCACTAGACATAAGTTGATAAAAAAAAAAAAAAACATGTCACCCTCAGTATGGGGTCCTGAAGGCTTCAGGAGCCGGTATGCAGCACATAGT